GTGAATCACAGCAGAATGGACAAGTAGATAACCACCAACCCAGGCAAAGTTTTGTGGGGTCATGCCAGCTGAAAGACACACTGAGCGTCTTTATCCAGATACAAATAATTGCAACCATTTTAGCTTTCTTAAACACAGCAAAATGGTTTTAAAATACCAGTACAAGAAACTCTGCTGCTGTATTGGAGCTTCGGGTTTTGAGAAAAAGAAGCTGTTTTGAAGTTCCTGAGCCCTCCCACTTGGTCTTGGGAAAAGACCATTCTTAATCCCACTTCTCTGTCCTGTGGTACATAGGCAGGTAGGAATCTGTCTGTCTGTCTGTCTGTCTGTCTGTCTATCTCATGATTTGTTTCTCTGGTTGGCTGATCTACGAAACCATGATGCTTACTATTGCTTTATTAGAATAAAATTATACAGTTTCTGAAACAAGGAAATTTCATCTGAAGGCTATCAATTTCCAGTAATTTCCCCCTTTCTCTGTTTGTCCCTAATTTTCATTTCACCAGATCCAGGGTTATGTTTCTCCGACCAAACAACTTTGAAGGGCAATAAGGACTGTGGTGATGCTTGCTTAGCAAAGTGGATAATGTAAACTGACCTTTTATTTGGTTTCACAGTGACTGTTGTTCCTGTTTTTCAGGCTGGGGAAACTAAAGCTGAAGGGTAGGAATTGACCACAGTTGTCCATTTAGACTAGGGTGGAAGGAGGAATTGAATCTGGTTAGTCATTTCCAGCCCTCTCTTGGATACACCCTGTAACAAGGTGAGGGGGGATTTCAGAGGGGCAGGGAAGCTGAGAGCAATGCTGCCAGGAGGCCAAGCTCTCCCACTTGGTTGGACTCCTGGCAGGTTGCCAAAGGCGAATGCTCAAAGCAGAGGTGTGAGACTACGAGGCACCCACCCTCTTTGGTCTCAGCAGCATACAAGAACGGAGATATCTAATGACGGGGGCAGAGGAATTATGAAGAGCTGCTGTTGGGCAGCAACAGCAGTTGAAGGTGGAACTGGTGGCAAAGCTTTTACAGACAGTGGCAGTGACCCTTAAGCTGACTCTGATGAGAACCGTGCAGAAGGAGGCAGTGTGGAGCCGCTTCTTACATGCTTTCCTTGAAAAGCCTATGATGAAACGACCCAAGGCAAAACAAGTGCCAGTGCCAGTAGATGAGGCCCCCCGGGTTGGAAGGCGTTCCGCAACCTCTTGGGGAAGAGCAAAGGACAAGCGCAAGGAGTGTTGCCACGGATGGCACCGTTATTCCCCAGCCGAAGGGAAGGCTGGTGGCTGACATGCCTGGGGGGGAGGATGGTCTGTTGCTGCACAGGGCATGGAGTTGGAGCACAGAGCAGGAGACCTATGAGTCAAGGAGAGGGGAAGGCACGAAGCAAGAATGAACCGTTCAGCATCACCGTACTTGATGTGAATGCACTCACGTGGATCGGAACGGGGCATTTGCAGCCAGACAAAATGGCTCACCCTGGAACTGACAAACTCAGAAGGATCAGAGTGGCTCTAATACGACAGCAAGATCACAGCCCGTGCAATAAGGGCCTGTGGCGGAGAGTGTGCCTGAATTGTGCCAGTCTGAGTTCCCAGAAAACCCATCAATATAACCATCGTCCCAGTCTGTCCTCCAGCAGCAGATGCGGAAGAGGAAGCTATGAATGGTCCTGCAAGAAATGCGTGTGCTTCCGCACTTGATTGTTCTGATGCCTAACCTGCATTGTGGGTAAGAAGCTACAGCTAGGACAGAATATGGAGAAACAAAATGGAGAAACAGGCAAAGGCATCAGGCAAGGCTGCATTTTATCTTCCTGTCTGTTCATGCTGTATGCAGAACATGCCATAAGGAAACTTGGATTAAGTTCAGAAGGTACTCTGCAGGCAGCTGAAGACAGTTGAAGTAATTACTGGAAGCCAGATTGGCTTTATTAAGAACAAATCTTGCAAGAGTAATTCGATCTCATTTTTGGATTGGGTAACCTCTCTTGTGGACTGTGGGAATGTTGTGGGCATAATTTATCTTCCTTTGATGCAGCTTTTAGCCAAAGTGCCCTATGACACTCTGATCAACAAACCAGCCAAAAGTGGGCTGGATGGAACAACTCTGGTCAACCCACAGCTGGCTGCAGAATCGGAGCCAGAGAGTGCTTCTCGTTTGCTTCCCAAATGGCACCTTTTCAAATGGGGGAACGGTCACAAGTGGGATCCCGCAGGGCTCAGTCCTGTGCCCAGCGCTCTTCAGCATAACTTCTGCAAATTTTGTGCCATTTGCAAATCTGACCAGCTTGGACAAGGACTTGCGAGGAATGCTGAGACAGCTAACAAAAGCCAAAGCGATCTTGATAGGCTGGAGCTGAAAGCAGCGAGATGGAGTTCAAGAGGGGCAAATGCCCAGCTCTGCCTGTAGGAAAGGGGAGCTAAATAAATGCGCATGCTAAATGAAGGGGGCTTCTTGGCTCAACAACGCTGCGAAAAGTGATGTGGCTGCAAAAGAGCAAATGCTGTTTTGGGCTGCATTAATAGAAGTATGGCTTCCAGATCACATGAAGTACTGGTTCCCCTCTATTCAGCACGATTGATTGATTGATTGTATTTGTATGCTGCCCCATAATTAGGCTTCTCCTTAAGTCCCGTATCCACTTCTGGGCACCACAGTTCAAGGAGGTCGTAAACAAGCTGGACAGGGTTCAGAGGAGAGCAGTAAAGATGAGCAGTAGACTGAAAACAAAGCCCCGTGAGGAAAGGCGGAAAGAGCTGGCCATGTGTAGCCTGGGGAAGAGAAGACGGAGGGGAGATGGGGGAGCCCTCTGCAAGTGCTTGAGAGGCTGCCACACATAGGAGGGCCAGGGTCTCTTCTCCACCATCCCAGAGTGCAGGACGCAGAAGGATGGGCTCAAGGTACAGGAAGAGGGATTCTGGCTGGACACCAGGAAGCACTTCCTGGCTGTTGGAGAGTATGGCGGTGCAACCCATCAGCTAGGGAGGTGGTGGCTCCCCTACACGGGAGGCATTCAGGAGGCAGCTGGAAGCTGCCGGAGAGGGGTGTGCAACCTGGGGTCCAGCCTGGAGGGGGGCCCTGAACCCCCGGGCCTGGCGGCCCCTCCCAGCGGCACTATTCTACCTTGCACCGGCTTCTTCCTGGCATGTAACCAGGTCCGGGCTGGGGGTGGGTTTCCTGCTACATTTCTTCTGTGCGCGTTTTATTGTTTTTTACCAGCAAATAATGAAGTACGCCAATGAAATCCCCCCACTTTTGGGACAGCCCCTGGCACTTGGAGCGTGGCCACGTGCCTGACTTGCTTCCCTCACCTGCCAGACTGAAGCATTTTCCCGCTGAAGGGATGAAGGCCCAGAGTGTTCTCCTTGTCCATTTCCAGGGGAGCCTGGCCTGGCCTGGCCTGGCCTCGGGGGTGAGCCCTCGTAAGGCCGGTGAGGCGGGGCACAGGGTGCCCTCCAGGCAGCCGCTCGACGGGTCGGGAGTGTCCTGCCGCGTGCTTTTCGGGGCGGCGCACTGAGCCTGGCTAGCGACGGGCCGCTGCGCTGCGAGAGTGGCGCGTGGAGCAGCTGCATCGCGTCGTGCCTGTCGGGAGCCATGGCTTTTCCCGGGGGGGGGGGGTGTCCTGTCCCTGTCCCTTTATAACTGGAGGCAGCACTCCCCAAGGTGGGAGCACATGGAGGTAATTCCTCCCGCTTACCTTGGTCAGAGCCTTCCCGGTCGTGTAACATGCGCCCAATCAGTGGCTAAGTCCGTGGTTTTCAACCACCGGTCAGTGGACCATCGCTGGTCCGTGGGGGGGGGGGG